CTCCTGGAAGGGGGGTGTTTAGGGTACAAGTCCCCTCTCCCAGCGCCATTTCAGCTGGGCAGGGGCTCACTGCCACCGTGCCTGGGGTGAGGAGGAGACCCCAGTCTGCCCTTGCTGCCTGGCACTGTGGGGCTCGTGCCAACCCTGGTGCCTTTTCCCGCCCCAGGCGGGTACTTGCACACTTCAGCCATGCTGCTGCACTACTGCACCACGACAAGCTACCTCCTTCCTCGGCCCCCACCCTGGTGCCCCGCACCTCCTTGTGCCTACAGCTTCTCCATCGGGTGTAGCCTGTGACTGCGGGTTGCCGGGGCTCCGACCATACCTCTGCCTCCTGCATATTGGGATAATAAACACGTGTAGAGAACCTGGGGCTGTGTTCTTGCCAAAAGCTTTGGGGAGGGGGCCAGGCTGACTGCGGGGAAACAGGGGCCAAAGAGGGCAAGAGGACTACGCTGCAGCATGGCGGGAGCTGCGGCAGAGAGCATGGAGTAGGGTAGAGGATGGCTGGGAGGAAGGTTTTGTTCCTACTCATTATGGTTTGAGAAAACCCACAATTTATTGTCGTTTAGACAATTATTTGCTCACCTGCTGACCCCTCCCCACCCGGGAAGGGGAATCTGGAAGAAATCAGAAAACCCTGGGGTTGAAACAGATTTATATTTAAATCTGTATAAACAGATTTAATAGAATAAGACTAGATGATTAACAACACAAAACAACCAATATTGATCCCAATACCAACATAAAATATATGAGGATCATACTCAGCCCATTCTATCCATAGGAAGCTGTGCGCTCCCCGCAGTGACAGCCAATGTGGGACTTGCAAGCGCCGTGGCTTTGGGAAGAAGGGAAGGGCTCGGGGCTCCGGCACAGGGGCAAGGAGTTCTCTGTGGCAACCATCACATGAGAGAACTCCTCATAAAACTTCCTAATTTATACTGAAAGTGCTGTTTGTGGTATGAAATAATCCTGTTGGGCAGCTTGGGTCAAGTGCTCAGGTCTTGTTCCTCCTCGTCCCCACACCTGGCGAGCTCGAAAACACTGAGACCTTGAAACCCGCATCCTATAGCTGGCTATAAAGTAAGCATTTTCACAAATTCAGACCCCAGAGTCTTCTAAAAGTGCAGTTTTCCCTAGTATTCTTGGGAACGGTGGCACATAGTCTAGTTGGAGGCCTGTAACCAGTGGTGTCCCCCAGGGGTCAATACTCAGTCCAATTTTGTTCAATATAATGAACAAAATTACATTTTGTTCAAAACATTAATGACCTGGATGAGGGGACAGAGTGTATCCTCAGCAAGTTTGCTGATGATACCAAATTGGGAGGGGTGGCTGACTCTCCAGAGGGCCGTGCTGCCATCCAGCGTGACCTGGACAGGCTGGAGAGCTGGGCAGAGAGGAACCTAATGAGGTTCAACAAAAGCAAGCGCAGGGTCCTACGCCTGCGGAGGAAGAATGCCAGGCACCAGTATAGGTTAGGGGTGGACCTGCTGGGAAGTAGTTCTGAGAAGGATCTGGGGGTCCTGGTAGACAGTAAATTATCCATGAGCCAGCAATGTGCCCTTGTCACCAAAATGGCCAATGGAATCCTGGGCTGCATAGGGAAGACTGTGTCCAGTAGGTCGTGGGAGGTCATTCTCCCCCTCTTCTTGGCACTGGTGAGGCCACAACTGGAATGCTGTGTCCAGTTTTGGGCTCCCCAGTTCAAGAGGGACAGGGAACTGCTGGAGCGAGTCCAGCAAAGGGCAACCAAGATGACTGAGGGATTGGAGCATCTCCCTTATGAGGAAAGGCTGAGAGCGCTGCGACTCTTTAGCCTGGAGCAGAGAAGGCTGAGGGGAGACCTTATTATGGCATACAAGTATCTAAAGGGAGGGTTGAAGGAGGATGGAGCCAGACTCTTCAGTGGTTCCCAGTGACAAGATGAGGAGCAATGGGCACAAGTTGGATCACAGGAAGTTTCGTTCCAACACACGGAAAAACTTCTTTACAGTTCAGGTGACAGAGCACTGGCACAGGCTGCCCAGGGAGGGGGTGGAGGCCCCTTCTCTGGAGATTTTCAAAACCCGCCTGGATGCAGTCCTGAGTGATGTGCTCTGGATCAAACCGGGAGACTACTGCTGAGTGGAGGAGCAGGCACAGCGTCAAGTCACCTCCAAGGAAGGTGTTCCAGCCTAGGAAGGTTTAGGAGCACTGCAGGTGGTGCTGGTACCAAGTTGGACAGGCTCAGCTCCTGGGCCTGAAGCTTGGAGAGCAGCATCTCGGCCAGAAGAGAGGCTGTTATAAGGAAAAGTGAGGCTGGGGAAGGCAGTTTCTGTGAGGCTGCTGCCCTGCAGGGCAGGCTCTGCAGCACCAGCTGTCACCCCACACGCTGAACCACCTCCCAGGAGCCAACAGAGCTACCAAGGGAGGTGAGAGCACCACAGCTCACTTGGCTCCAGGTCAGGCTCTTGATGGCTGTGCAGAACCCTGACAGGGCCGGGGTGCTGTAGGGCACCTTCTCCTACGAGCCACGGGGCTGTGCGGAGGGTGCCGAGATGCGAAGGGCAGGCACCC